GCCCTAAGAAATGTCGATAACTTAGTCTTGCCCAAACCTAAAAATAATTATTGAAAACGAACATTCTTGTATCGCGGATCTAAATTGTATAATGAACTACCGATTAACTCACGTAGACCGAACACACTCGATCTATTTCGGCAGGGCCTAAAAGAATGGATACTAGATTTCGGATGTATAAACTTTTGGTGTAAACGAGGAGGGGGGAGGGATGGTAACAGTCGTATTCATAATGTGTTATAGAGGGTTTTGGGGGGGGGGGGGTTGTAGATAGTGCGTTTGTAATGTTATATTTTTGTAATATTTTGTGTTTTATTTCTATGTTTGATTATTTCTGGACCTCTAGGAAGAACAGAGCCATTTTAATAATTATGGCTCTGAATAGAACTTTCCAGCCGTTTTTAATTCTTGATTTGTATTAATTGTAAATAATTGCATTCTTGTATGTATTTGATTTTTTATACGGAAAATATAACCAAACCAAACCAATGGTCTATTGTGTACAGGTGGTTAGCTCTGCCCTTACAAAAAAGTTGTATAGAATTCTATAGAACGCTTTATAGAGTTCTATAGAACTCTATAACATTCCAGATTCTCTATAGAACTTTTAAGGATTCTCTATAGAAAGCGGTTTCCTCTATAGAATTCTATAGAATAAGTTTTCTATAGATTGAAATTTCTATTTTCAAAGATGCTAACGGCTTTCCATAATTTTTAAGTCCAACTTAGAGACAAGTTCAACTTAAGATCTTTGTGAAACACCCACCTGGTCGATAATCATTTCAAAGTGTAACAATCACGTTGGAAACAAATAATTTGTGCATAGCATGTATCAAATCAACCACCAATTATTTACCTTGCAATCTAGAGGTCAACAGTCAAGGAGTATGAAGAAAATATAACATTTTCTTAGGCCTGAGTTGATATGGTTGCCCACCCTGGTCTACAACCACCTGTCTCAATTTGGGGTTTGACTTTTAGATGTAGGGAATTTCGCAATTTGATTTTACCGGTACACTGATATTTTGCAATACCTTTGTACAAGTACATGCAAACAAAGGTCTAAAGCGATATTATACAAATAATGCACTGATCCCTCCCTCTCTCTCTCTATCTCCCATAGGAAAGAAATGAGCCTGCCGCATACTCCTGCGGCAGACTTGCCGCAGATCTGCAGCAGACCTGCCGCAGACAGTCATCTTTTTCACATGCAAATTAGTTTTGCCGCAGACTTGCCGCAGACTTGCTGCAGACTTGCCGCATACTCTTTCAGTATGATGAAGAGTCTGCGGCAGACCTACCGCATACTCTTTCAGTATGATGAAGAGTCTGCGGCAGGTCTGCCGCAGACTTGCCGCATACTCTTTCAGTATGATGAAGAGTCTGCGGCAGGTCTGCCGCAGACTCTTCGTCATGAATATTCATATCTCATATAGACCTGCCGCATACTCTTTCATATCCAGTACGTGGCAATAAAGTATGCATGTAGAAGAACCAGTGATAAACTGATTGATACTTCATAATCGATATTGGCAATATCGATATTACCAATAAGGTAATACCAATATATATCGATATTACCAATTAGGTATATTCTATTCTCAATTGTATACTTCATCACATTGATCATTTGAAGTGTATTCCAGAGTAACATTTAGAGTGACACAGGCTCGTACACATATATATACTAAATATGTATATTGTTTCTTGGTTAGTAATCATAGTTTCTTGGTTAGTAATCAATATATCTATTGCTTAAACGTGAATGTAATTGTAACATGATCAGACAAAATAATCTATTGGTTAATAATGGCAAAAGGAAAATAGAAATCATAAAAATGATGTGCATTGTCTTAATTTGCTTAACAAATCATGATAAATGTATTTTTCTGTCACACGTGTAAAGTAATAATGAATATGCATGAGATGATTGGTTTCAATTGGCCCTATTAGACTTTAATGGGATTTCCTGGGGCAGACCTGCCGCAGACTGTTCCTGTGGCGTACTGGTATGCGGCAAGTCTGAAGCAAAGTCTCATCCTGCCGCAGATCTGCCGCAGACTGTTCCTGTGGCATACTTGTATGCGGCAAGTCTGCAGCAAAATTTCATCCTCCCGCAGACTGTTCCTGTGGCATACTAGTATGCGGCAAGTCTGGAGCAAAGTTTCATCCTGCCGCAGATCTGCCGCAGACTGTTCCTGTGGCATACTAGTATGCGGCAAGTCTGGAGCAAAGTTTCATCCTGCCGCAGATCTGCCGCAGACTGTTCCTGTGGCATACTAGTATGCGGCAAGTCTGGAGCAAAGTTTCATCCTGCCGCAGATCTGCCGCAGACTGTTCCTGTGGCATACTAGTATGCGGCAAGTCTGGAGCAAAGTTTCATCCTGCCGCAGATCTGCCGCAGACTGTTCCTGTGGCATACTAGTATGCGGCAAGTCTGCAGCAAAATTTCATCCTGCCGCAGATCTGCCGCAGACTGTTCCTGTGGCATACTAGTATGCGGCAAGTCTGGAGCAAAGTTTCATCCTGCCGCAGATCTGCCGCAGACTGTTCCTGTGGCATACTAGTATGCGGCAAGTCTGCAGCAAAATTTCATCCTGCCGCAGATCTGCCGCAGACTGTTCCTGTGGCATACTGGTATGCGGCAAGTCTGCAGCAAAATTTCTTTCTGCCGCATACTTCGGCATACTCTTTGCCGCAGACTAAAAGTCTGCGGCAGGTCTGCGGCATACTTTTCACTTTCCTATGAGCTCTCTTGTTTTCATCAAATTATTTCCTAATATATTTCTTGTTATATCTCATTATCTATCTATCTATCTATCTGTCTCTCTCTCTCTCTCTCTCTCACACACACACACATCCTTTCTTTCTCTCTCTCTCTCTTTCTTTCACACATACGCACACACACAGATATCCTATTTAGTTCAAGAATCTGTCCTTATGTCTCATTTCCTTGCCAAAAATGATGACATACAATTGAATTGAATTGAATCAAGGTTTATTAAAAAAACATGTGTCGCAGCCCAATGGCTGAATTGATCATGTGTGCAAACAAAACACTCATTGCATATTTCAAACATAAAATACAGTTACAATTAATTTGACAATATTGAAATACATGTATATATAGTTAATTTGATAAGATTGCTTGGGCAGTAAAAATAAGAAAACAGAATATAACATGAAGTCTGGAAAACGGAGAGGAGAAACATGAAGAAAAAAGTATAAGAGGAAGTTGTAGAAAATGCATGTACATCAAAAAATATAAATAAACAAGAGGACTATAGTATAAATAACATAAGAAAGAATTATTTTTTTAAGTTATGGGGGGGGGGGGGGGAGGAAAAATAAAAGTCTACAATAAAGAACAGATTGAAATAACATTAGGTGAGGAAAATAAATCAGAATTTTGTATCAAACAAAACTATGACTTGACGATCAGGCCGGCAGTACGGACAGTTTGATTCTTCACTAAAATAAAACTTGAACGTTCTTCTTCCTAAAGTACCTCCTATGATTCAAAGTTACTTTTATTACAATGATGTCAAACGTAGTTTAAGAATGACTGAAGTACTCCATATTTATGTAAAACTAGATCATGCGCCAAAAAAAACTGAGTGAGTGGCTTCCCCCGATACGCACTATCGGGATGCTACTTCTCACGCAAGGGCAAGGACTATCACATTCAACATGTTGGCCAAATATCTAGTGGATGTGTTACATTACTGGCGGACTGGTCACAGTTCCTTGAGACTTAGTCTAATCTTATCAATTTACAATCAAATCTAGGCCCATTTACACATCCCAAACATTTTTAAAATCCTTGATTGTTTGGACTACCATGCACTACTGGCAAAAACATAACAGTTTGCTCAAACCAACCTTTTTTTGTTTAAAGGAATAGTGCGCATGCGCCACTTGTCGGTGCCCTGTATTCTTTAACATTGAAGCAAGGAAAGTCGCAAGAGCAAAAAATCAGTGAAACTCCAGCAAGCGTTTAAAAAAAAACGCAATCCATTGCAACTACTTGCGAAACACCGGATGTGAGAAAAATCAATGATTTGGGGTTGCAGTGTAATACAGCTTCTGTTTAGTGCTTTTTTTTTTTAGATGTTTAGTGCACGTAAGAGAAATCATAAACAAATATGAGAGTGTCCCATATATAATATGCTTCTTTGTTGTGTATCTTGATTTAGTTGTGTATCTTGATGTTTTTAGTTTTTCATCACATTTGCAAATATCTTTCTTAAAGGTACTATGTCCCTTTTGCAGCCAACCTCAAATGCAGTAGAAATTAACAGGAATTATGAATATGTCATGTATGTCCTATCTGTGAAATTTAAACCTTAGCAGTGTCCTCATATTCAAATTATGCAAGGAAACCCGTTTACTTGCTAGACTTCACTGTCAGACACTATTGAGTGACTGACTGGCTTTTCTTCTTCGGTGGTAATAACATACATGAAAAGAGTTGTAAAGGGTACATGAGCATTTGTCTACATCAATAACCCACTTCTTGTGATGGCCAAGATTAAACTGATTGAATCTTTGCGCAGCATAAAACGTATGACCATTCGGTACAATTGTCTGAAAATCAAGACTATTACTTTTGGGCTCTATAGCCCTAAAGTCGATTTGACAACTAATAGTCGTTATTTTCCCACTTGAAGACATTTTCAAGCCCCACCTTTTTTAGGGAAGTTCTAAATTAGTATTATCTTTCAAATGCAGTTGGAATTTAACCTTTTCATTTTTTTGGCCTGCAAATGGGACATAGAACCTTTAAAAAGAATGGTATGGTGTCCAAAGTGGTATTCATTATTTTGCGCTTGAGCTCCTCTACCTGTTCGTGACATCGGTTTATGTTTCCCATCTTTATTTATTGCGCAATCTTGAAAACGATTAAATCGCGTATATACTGTCATATTGCGCAATAAAAGAGTCATTTGAAGCATTTTTTTAGTTTTTCATCACATTTGCAAATATCTTTCTTAAAAAGAATGGTATGGTCTCCTAAGTAGTATCATTATGTTGCGCTTGAGCTCCTCTACCTGTTTGCGACATCGATTTATGTTTCTTATCTTTATTTATTGCGCAATCTTGAAAACGATGTGTATAGCTCTCAAATCGCGCATAAACTGTCAAATTGCGCAATTAGAGCCATTTGAGGCGTATTTGTTAGTTTTTCATCACATTTGCAAATGCAAAAGAATTGATGTTGGCTGCAAAAGGGAGATAATATCTTTAAAGAGAAAATAAATAATTTTAAAGTATTTCATGAAAATCAAATGTTCTTATTGCAAATTAAATGAATTAGGCAGGTTTGGAGCAAGACACTTTTCAGTCAATCAGCTATTGGCATTCAATCAATTCATCTGATAATGCTATTCCGCGTTTATATACCCTGTAGTGCTTAAAACATTGACAATGTCTCTAGCACTTTACATATATGTTACTGCCCCAGTCATAGAATTCGGGTTTGCCTGCAGACAGTGTATGCACATTTTTCACTCCCTGGAGAGCATTCCAGACAGGCGCCATTTTACAGACGCACACAATACTGAGCAAACTACATTGAATTTGGTTATATTACAAATCTGTGTTGTGAGGACCCTACGTCACAAAAAATGCATTGTGCAGGGGTGATAGTGTGCAGGGGTGATAGTGAGCACTAAACAAAACAAATCCCCCCCCCCCCCCCTCAACTACCCCCCTTTCCCTAGCTTCTCTTGTGCTGACCGTTCTCTGAAGAGCAGAGGGGGTGATAACGCTTGTTGCATCTGCCTCCCTGATGAGGTAGCATTGGTCCTCTTCACCCGCCCTTTAATCTGTTGCTAAGAACAGATTAAAGGTTTTTATCAAATACAGGATTTACAGAAGAAATGTTCTTCACTGTCTTTTACCCTTAATGTCACCTCAGTTTCCCAAGCTTATCCTTTGCTGACCGTTCTCTGAAGAGCAGAGGGGGTGACAACGCTTGTTGTATCTGCCTCCCTAATGAGGTAGCATTGGTCCTCTTACCCCGCCCTTTCTTCCCCTTTGCAACAGGCTTGGTGTGCTCTTTAGGGGTGTGGATAGGCATCCAGGGGACTGGGTTGTAGTAGCTGGGAATGGCGTAGCTTGCCTTGTCATGGTAGCCTATGTGTGAACACAAGTAGTAAAAAAAAATACAGCATTTTTTAATTAAGCTTCTGATAGTGATGTAAAAAAGCAGTCAACAGCAGACAAACAATCCTCACATTTACAAGTTTGCTGACATGACTGCAAAATTGTTTCAGGTATAACTATGAGCTAACAGTAAATAACTTATTTCTTTAGCAAAACATATAAAAAGGTACCCATGTGTTTTCTGATAGCAGGCAAGGGTTAAAAGATATAACAAAAGAAATTTGGAGTAGGGAGTATCACCCCTTAAGACAAAAATCAATTAGACAAAATAAGTGTTTCAAATCAAGACTTGGCCTGGTATTGGTAAGACTTGGAGAGAGCTCTGAAGGTATCCAAAGGGATAAGCTAGTTGTAGTGATCTCGTCTTGGCCTTGGACACGTTTGCCTTCTTAACCCTATCTAGCCTGGGCTTTTTTGAAACTGCATTGCCTGGGGGGGGGGGCTTCTAAATTGTTAGAGATGCTGAAATGTCTCATGATAGTTGTCAGTTATTTGGAAACATTTATTATTGTTGGTTTAAGGTCAATACCTCGTAAATTCGGGAGTACACATGAGAACTATTTTTCTTAAGCTTTAGGATTTCTTTTAGTATTAATTGTAGTACACCTACATGTACACACAAATTATAAAGCGGTGTGATATTTTTAGGCAAAATTTGAGTGATTCGCCTTACAATTAGCCTTGTTTAAATCGTTCTAGGGGTAACATCGCGTTTTAATACTTGTTTTAATAGTTAGGAAAGAGAATGAATCATTGTAATGTGATTTATAATTTGCTAATGATAGATTTATGATTCAGAAACAAGACAAAGACAATATATTCATTACTTTGCTTTAAAGAAGACAACATTTATTGAAGTATAGAAGTGAAAGAAATAGTTACATGATAAGAGTTTGAACGTGAATCTCAATATTTCTAATTGCTTTACTCTAGTCTCAAACTTGATAAATACTCTTTGAAGGTTACTTAGGTTTGCTTACAAAGAAAGCATTCTAAGAGAAAAGAACATATTACAGATGAAAGTGTAGAAAGTATTAATGCATTTTCCAGTTTAAATAGTTTCAATTATTATTACTATGTGAAAGGAACAATTTGTGTACTTTGAAACAATAGTCATATTTTGTTTTATCTCTGTTATTCACACACAGTAGTTATTCAGCACCACTACTGAGATACTCCCGAGTATTCTGCAGGATGTTAAAGGTACTATGTCCCATTTGCAGGCCCAAAAAATGAAAAAGTTAAATTCTAACAGCATTTGAAAGATAAAACGAATTTAGAACTTCCCTAAAAAAAGGGGACCTGAAAATGTCTTTAAGTGGGAAAATAATATAGTATTAATGACTGCTTTGAGAGAAATGGTTGTTTTTATACGCTCAAGGGAAGGTTAGAATTGTGCTATTGCCCGCGGCGTGCCGAAGGCAATAGCCAAATTGTAATCTTCCCGAGAGCGTATAAAATCAATTATATACCTCACTTAAGAAATCCAGCCATCTGATTGGTCGAAATTGCATTCATAAACTTTAACTATTCCTAAAAAATAGTTCTAAAATCCCAGTAACCATGGTTACCGAAAAAATAGTTCAGTCTTGGTGAAATGGTTTGAGCGATTGAGGATACCGTACGTGTGCAAAGAATTGGTCAGTATTTTCATACAAGACAAGACAATTCCAAGCAAGACAAAAATGGCTAAAGAAACTCTCCCAAGTTTTCAACTTATCAAATGCAAGACTCGCTGACAGCAAGAACAACAAAAAGGGTACGTGAAATTATCCATAAACATGTTCGTTTAGTTGCTGAAAATGCTTAGATCTAGGCCTAGTACTAGTCAGGGTGTCTGATCGCACACCCGATGTTGTGTGCTAATTCTTCCCATAGAGATTGCACGCAATGCAGTCTCTATGCAGTCTATGTGCATTGCCCGACCATGCAAAAAAAGTTTTTTTTTCTTTCAATTCAAGATTCAAACCTTTATCTGTTGTGATCCTGAAGGTGATACTCAATAAGTGAGGTGTCATATGAAAGCGCAGGTTTTTCTCCATATTCCCCACAGGGCCGGCCCACCCCCAAAATTGTAAAAATATCTTGCTTAGACTAGAATCTAGATATAGTCTATACTCTCAAAGATACACTCACGCCTCGGGCAATAGCACAATTGTAACCTTCCCTTGAGCGTATAAAAACAACTATTTCTCTCAAAGCAGTCATTAATACCATACTATTTCTAGAATATTAAAGCAGTCATTAATACTTTTATATGCCAAAAAAAAAAAGAGTCAACTTATGACACCACCTTGGTCTTTATCTAGTTTATCTGCACGGTTGTTTTTTATGAGTGTATCTTTGAGAGTAGACTAACAATTTTTTTTTGTTTTTTGTTTTTTTGTCGAAGATGGGATTCAATCTCTTGCGTACCAACGATGATGTGATTAAAATCACAGCCTTAGACCGCTCGGCCATCGCGCACCGATACAACACTAAGCAGTTTTCTCTGATGTATACATTAAAATGGATTGAAAACGGCTTCGCGTGTTGGATGCTTCGCGGCAGCTCCATTAAACGGGCCCTTCTTTTACTTTTGCAATGCATTGGCATGAACTTAGATCATATCTATCGGCAGATGTTGTTTTTGGAAGTTTATTTCGTCTTCATGTCAACAATGCAAGATAAAATTGTCGGTAAGATCGATCGAGATTCAATTGTATTGAAATTACCGACCAATTCATCGCACACGTACGGTATCCTCGATCGTTCAGACCTTTTTTTAACATGTGAACCGATGAGTATTTCACCAAGACTGAACTAATTTCCCAGTAACCATGGTAACTGGGATTTTAGAACTATTTTTTAAAACTATTACATGGGTTTGGAATTTTACCGGGAATTTTACAGGAATAGTTAAAGTTTATGAATGCAATTTCGACCAATCACATGGCTGGATTTCTTAAGTGAGGTATATAACGACTATTAGTTGTCGAATCGACTTAAGAGCTATAGAGCCAGTAAGTAATACCGGTAGTCTGATTTTCAAACCATTGAACTGAATGGTCGTACGCTTAATGCTGCGCAAAGATTCAATAAGTTTAATTTTGGCCTTTACAAGAAGTGGGTTATTGATGTAGACAAATGCTCATGTACCCTTTACAGCTCATTTTATGTATGTTATTACCAAAGAAGAAAAAAAAAAGCCATTCAGTCACTCAATAGTGTCTGACAGTGAAGTCTAGCAAGTAAACAGATTTTCTTGCAAAATTTGAATTCAAGGACACTGCTAACTATAAATTTTCACAGATAGGACATACATGACATATTCATAATTCCTGCAAAGCTCTTCATAAGATGATGTTGGCTGCAAAAGGGACGTAGTATCTTTAAAAGGAAGCTAACTAAGCTCACACCTCCTTTCGTGGTTATTGTAGCAACGTGGATTTTTGACACGGTCTTATAACATAGATTACTATGGTAATTATTATTCTTTCACTCATTTACTCATTTGCATATTTATGGTAATTTATGGAAGTAAGGTAATAAAGTTCACATTTTTACCCATAAATCATATTATCTTCATATTCAAACATCAGTTTTCACTACATATATTCTTTAGACCATCTGGGATAATGATACCAAAAAAAAAATGAGGGAAACGCTCTCAGCGGTCTCGCCTGCATTACGCAATTCGATATGATGAAAAATTGAAGTTGGAACATTATTTATAGGAAGGGTGGCCCATTAGCAGGCCCCAAAAAACGAAATTCTCTGAATATAGGTTAAGTTTTTGATGTTGACGCCTCCGCCGCCGTCACCGGAAAAGCGGCGCCTAAGTCTCGCTTTTTTGCTACGCAGACGAGACAAAAATTGTATTTTACTGCTACTTAGGTGTCATAAATTGTCACTTAAGTACCGATTTTTAGTGAAATCAGTTGAGTTTTGAACAGTGGTGTTTGAAATGTTGAGAATCAATAGAACAGTTTTTAATACAGCAGCAATTGCAGCCACAGTTTTCCAATTAAATAACCACTAAAAAGAAACCAGTTCAAACCAAGTACAGGTTGCGTAACGTCACCCTGGAAGAAGTGCAACACCACCCCTACCTGAATTCAAAGGGACTCGGTTGTGCCACACATATTGACCAAACTTCATCAAATTACATGTAGGCCCAAATTAGAGTTATATGCAGCTACATGTACAGTTTATGGGACCCACAGCATAAGTCAGACCAGGACAAACTAGACATTCACAACGAGGGACTATGACAGGGAATCGAGTGTTACAAAGATGCTGGAAAATCTAAAATGGGAAACTTTGAAAGTCCGCAGAACCAAAGCCAGACTACCTGCATTGTATAATGAAACACATTACACATTACACACAAATTAACACCCAGCAACATATCGACTTATCTTCTCATTTGAAAATGGCGCTACAGTACGTACTTTATACTCTTTGCATTGCAGCTTTTTTGCATATTTATCAGGTGGGCTGTATCTAATACAGACCACCTTATAATTTTGTTAAAATTGCCTTTATCAGGTGGGCTGTATATCATACAGACCACCTTATATTTTTGTTAAAATTGCTTTTATTATTTATTATCAGGTGGGCTGTATATCATACATATTTTATTTACTTTATTATTACACTATTTTCGCTTGATCCATTACTTTTTGTGTGTAATCCCTATGGGAGATGACTTTTTGTTAAATTTGGATTCTACATTCCTATCTTTTGCGAGCAATAACGCCGTTATTTCTGCTTGGATTTTGTTGATTTTTGAATATGTTGTAGCTGAGAATATATGATATCTTAACCATCCCTCATTTTTTCAATAAGATGTCACGATCACGCTCATGATTAAGATCATCATCAATATCATCATGATCATCATCATTATCATCATGATCATCATTCTCATAATGATGATAATCATCATCATCATTATTATCATCATCATCATCATCATTATTATCATC